CTCCCCCAACCGTAAGTGGCGGGATTTCTCCCCCTCCCCACCACCAATATGAGTAAATGGTGAAACCACTTTTCACAGTCAGTGCACTGAATCTGCCTCACTCGGGTGTCTATGTCTCAACGTTCTTCCTATCACCCCAGTATTCAAAGTCTCTCAAGCAGAGAAAAACAAACATTTCTCCTCGGTTCGATGGGACTTGAACATCAGCGGCCAAGGAAGCAAGTGGCTCTGTCAGACGTTGATACATCATTTGGTTTCAGATTTCTTTCTGCGTGCCCTCGCCTTTGATGTCCTGCAAAAAAAAACTTCACAAAATGAGTGATCACTGTCAGTACAGTCAAATGAACATAACAGACACTAGTTCCTGGAAACTGACAGATGCCTGCTGGTCAGGTTTCTGTGCCCTGGATAACGTGAGAACCCTCATGCATCCAGCTAGCCTCAAGTACATATGGAGGAAAGCTTTGTTTAGATAACAATAAGCTGGAACAAGCTGCTGGAAAAGGAGCTGAATCAAGGATATGAAAATGAAATGTCGAGGCTGCTTGAGAAAAGAAAGACAGTAAAGTTGCTGAATGACTTCCTTCTGACATATTAAACAAAAAGATGACAAGAAATACAGAATGTAACTCTATTACTATATTATAAGGTGAACAATAATAGCCACAAAACTTTTACAGTGAATAACATCAGAAATACACCATATGAAGCAACATATGTCTACATTTTATATCAATGTGCTCATCCCTTAAATGTTGCTCTGTTCCATGAGAAATTAAACGTTTAATTGTGTACAAAAGAGAAGAAGCAATGCTTTACTAAGGTGCACATTTTTTTTAACAAATATACGTGTCAAACTGAAGGAATACATAATGCAGGTTCTTGTCTTTATTTTAAGGGTACAAGGGCAGAGATGGCAGTTCGGGCAGTGGTATGTTCATCCTGCCAGACGTGGGAAATCAGGGAACAGTCTCGTGTCCCTGAAAACTACGTCTGCAGGACGTGTGACCAGCTCCCCACAGACCGCATGGTTCATTTGGAGAAGCAGCTGGACACACTGCGGTGCATGCAGGAGGCAGAGAGAGCGATAGACACTAGCTTGAGGGAGGTGGTCACAACACAGGTCCAGATAGATAGATGGGTGACTGCCAGGAGAGGCAGACCGGTAGTGCAGGAGTCTCCTGTGGCTATTCCCCTCTCAAACAGGTATTCTGGTTTGGATACTGTTGAGGGAGGGGAGTAGCCTCTCAGGAGATAGTACAAGCAGGAGCCAGGTCTGTGGCACCACAACTGGTTCTGCTGTAGAGCAGGGTGGGGCAAAGTCCAGGCGAGCGATAGGAGTAGGTGACTCGATAGTCAGGAAAACGGGCAGGCATTTCTGTGGCTGTGAACGAGACTCTAGGATGATTTGTTGCCCCCCCTGGTGCCAGGGTCCTGGATGTCTCGGAGTGGGTACAGCATGCCCTGCAACGGGAGGGGAAAACAGACGGAAGTTATTGTCCACATTGGCGCAAATGACATAGATGGGAAGAGGGAAGAGGCCCTGCGATGACAATTCTGGGAGTTAGGTAGGGAGCTAAAGAACAGGACTACCAGGGTAATGGCACAGGTATCTCAGGATTACTACCTGTGCCATGGGCTATTAATAGAGAGAGAGTACAGTTGAGCACGTGTCTACAGAACTGGTGTAGGAGGGAGGGCTTTAGAGATATGGATCATTGGGATGTCTTCTGGGGAAAGTGGGACCTGTTCAGGAAGGATGGGTTGCACCTGAATGAGAGGAGCACCAATATCCTGGGAGGGATGTTTGCCTGATCTCTTCAGGAGGGTTTAAACTAGTGTGGGAGGTGGGTGGAATCCAGAACAACAGGCCAGTAAGCACAGGGACTAGGGACAAAAGAGAGACTGAGATTGCATAGGCCAGAGTAAGAGCAGGCAGAGGGAAGTGACGGGGCTCAGAGAGACTGGAGGTCTGGAGTGCATTTACTTCAATGCAAGAGGTATAACAGATAAGATAGATGAAGTATGAGCATGGATTACTGCATAAAATTATGATGTTATTGCCATTACAGAGATATGGTTAAAGGAGAGACAGAACTGGCAGCTTAACATTCTAGGATATCACTGTTTGAGATGAGACAGAAAGGGAAACAAAAGGGGTTGGGGAATTGCATTGCTGATTAGGGATCACATCAGAGGGATCTTGCAGTGAGGCATTATGGGTGGAGCTCAGGAACAGGAAGGGTGAAGTCACAAAGTTGGCAATTTTCTATAGACTTCCCATCAGCCCATGGGAAACAGAGGAGCAGATATGTAGTCAGATACTGGAAAGGTGTGAAAAAAAGCAGGGTAGTTGTGGTGAGTGACTTCAACTTTCCTTTTTATTGACTGGGGCTCCCCTAGAACCAGGGACTCGGACGGAGAGCGATTTGTTAGATGTGTCCAGGAGGTATTTCTGAGACAGTATGTTGACAATTCAACTGGAGAGGAGGCCATACGAGACTTGTTATTCAGGACAGGTGATCGATGTTTCAGTAGGAGAGCATTTTGGGCTTAGTGACCAGAACTCCATAAGATTTCGAGTAGCCATGGACAATGACAAGAGTGGCCCTCAGGGTGAGAGTGTGTCAATGGAAAAGGGCCAATTACATCCAAATTAGACAGGAACTAGGGAAGGTGGTTGGGGACCAGTTATTTGAGGGCAAATCTACATTAGGCATGTGGGAGGCTTTTAAAGACCAGTTGATTAAATTGCAGGGCATGCATGTCCCTGCAAAACTAAAGGATAGAAATGGCAGGATCAAGGAAGCATGGATGACAAGGGAAATTGTAAACTTAGTCAAAAGGAAAAAGGAAGTATATGATAGATCGAGGTGGCTACAAACTGACAAAGCCCTTGAGCAGTATAGAGAAATTAGGAAGGAACTTAAACGCAGAATTAGGAAGGCTAAAAGGGGCCATGAAATGTCTTTAGCAAACAGGGTGAAGGAGAATCCCAAGGCTTTTTATGCATATATTAGAAGGAAGAGGGTAGCAAGGGAATGAGTAGGAGGGAAGTTATGTGTGGAGCACAGGAACTGGCAGAGATGCTTAATGATGACTTTCTATCGGTATTCACCAAGGAGAAGGACATAACTGAGGTCAGGGATGAGTGTGCGAACACTCTAGTGTCGAAGTAACTGAATCACACATGACAAGTACAGACTTCGAGGCAAAGAGACTTTATTCATGATGTCGCAGGGAGCCAATGCTGACAAAAGGCCAGGTCCGTAGTCTCCGATGAGTACAAAAACAAGGCAATACTTATACGCGCCATTATAGATTGAGACACAGTTGTTGCAAGGAGATCAGCACGTACACCGTTTATCACATCCCTTAACGCAGGTCATAGATCATGTCATCAGTCATGGTTCGAAAATTTGTGGTTGCTGATACGTTATCTTTAAGCAGAACGTGTCTTAAGCTTTGGGTCAACATTGAACAACAGGTTCTAAGCTTTCTACAGATATGCAACAATTTGTCACACATCTCTTACTTGACCTATTTTTCCATCATTCCAACCTCTAATTCTCAGCTTTAGCTACATTCTATATCTAATTGCTCTTGACACATTCATTATTCTTCCACATGGTCAGGGTGGACTCTATGGGCTGAAGGGATTCTATGAGGAATATTCAGGCCTATTGAACCAGTGATTCTGTCGTGTCACCATCTGGTTTGAAACCACTTTTTTGCCAGTGGAAATGTGGCCAACATCATCAAAGACAAATCACACCCCGGTAATGATCTCTTACAACCTCTTCTGTCAGGCAGAAGATACAGAAGCCTGAACACACGCACCAGCAGGTTTAGGAACAGTTTCTTTCTGGCCGTTATCAGACTGTCAAATAGACTCCAGCCTCAAATAATGTAACCTGTATGCCTCTAAAATCTATTGATCTGTCCATCCTTTGCTTGCTGTGATCTGCCTGTGCCACTTGTAAACAAAGCTTTTCACTACATTTCGGTACACATGACAATAAAATCAATCAATCAATCAGTCAAAAAAGCCTCCGCTTCCAATAACTTGCAAAATGACCTGACCGAGGTTATCACCATCAGTACAGATTAGACATTAGAATTGTGATTTCTTTCCTATGGAATGTTTTCGCCTTTTGTTCCCCAGAAGTAAATCTCCAACCCATACACTCTCTCGCCGTTCTCATGTTGCCAATATAAAGGTGTTGTTACAGCCCTGTGACACTTATGGAGTCATACTCATAGAATCATACAGCATGGAAATACACCCTTCGGTCCAACCAGTCTACGCTGACCATTATTCCAAACTAAACTAGTCCCACCTACGTGCGCTAGGCCTGTATCCCTCCAAACCTTTCCTATCTATGTACTTATCCAAACGTCTTTTGAACATTGTGACTGTACCTGCATCCACACTTCCTTGGAAATTCATTCCACACATGAACCAGTCTCCATGAAAAAAAGTTGTCCTTCATGCCTTTTTAAAATCTTTTACCTCTCACCTTAAAAATGTCTCCTGGTCTTGAAATCCACAACTCTAGAGAAAAGACGCCTGCCAGTCACCTTATATATGTCCCCATCCTCAACCTCCTATGCTCCAGTGAAACATGTCCCAGCCTATGCATGTCTCTCCTCATAAATCAAACCCTCCATTCCCAAAAATCACCTGGTAAATCTTTTCTGAACTTCTATTGCTTAATGATATCACTCTTATAACAGGGAGACCAGAACCAGACACAATACCCCAGAATTGGCCTCACTAATGTCCTGCACAACCTCAACATGATGTCCCAACTCCGATACTCAAAGGCCAATGCTCAAAGAATAATGAAGGCAAGCGTGCTAAACACCTTCTTCACCATACTGTCTACATTTGACACAAAATTCAAAGAATTATGTTTGTTGTAATATTGTAATTATTTGTTGTAATATTGTAGCTATGTCAAATATTTCCAATTATAAAGTTATTAAAGGGGACACTCTCATTCTGAAGTTCAACTGTTGACTTGCAGGAACTGAAAGGAAAGGAAGTGAATCCAGGGAGGGTGCAGACTCAGGGAAGGTTGGCTAGGTCTCTCTATTGAAGACATTGACTAACTTTGCTTCCTTAACTTGGCAGATTCATTTGTTTGGTTAACGGTCTCAATTAAAGGGATGGTCTTACCCAAGATGTGTTTAGCATTTAACAGGATAGTGTATTATAATTAGTTGTGTTGCAGTACAGGTATAAAATCATAGTCATACAGCATGGAAACAGTCCATGCCAAACACAATCCCAAACTAAACTAGTCCCACCTGCCTGCTCATGGACCATATCCCACCCCCAAAACCTTTCCTATTCATGTACTTATACAAATGTCTTTTTAAAATTGTAAGTGTACCCGCATCCACCACTTGCTCTGGAAGTTCATTCCACACGCAAACCACCCTCTGTGAAAAAAAATGACCTCTCGTGTCTTTTTAAAAACCTCTTTCCTCTCATCTTAAAAATACGCCTCCTAGCTTTGAAACGCCCATCCTAGGGAAAAGACAACAACCATTAACTCTATCTATACTTCTCTTATTTTATAAACTTCTATTAAGTTGCCTGCCAACCTCCTATGCTCCAATGGAAAAAGTCCCAGCTTATCCAGGCTTTCTTTATAACTCAAACCCCTGATACTCAGCAGTGTGCTGATAAATCTCTTCTGAACCCTCTCCAGCTTAATAGTAGCTTTCCTATAACTGGGTTTCCAGAACTGGACACAGTATTCCAGAAGAGACCTAACCAATGTCCTGTACAGCCTCAACATGACTTCCCAACTCCTATACTCAAATAACAACAAAGGCCAAATATGTTTTTAACCACCCTACATTTTTGTGACACAAACTTCAATCTTGGATTTTGCTGAAAAAAGGCAGACTGTTGAAAGTTCTCGTCTTGCTGTGATCAGGTTAGTTGGAAGATACTAAATCTCGAAAGGACTGATATTGCACAAGAAGCATGATGGTGATGATTGGTCCTAACGTGGATTCTGGTTGACGCTTTGCCATAGAGAATGTACCAGAGAACAGTGTACAGCACTTCCAAATTTCACATCATCTACAAACTTTAAAATTGTGCACTGAGTTGATTCCACATCCATGTTATGACTCTTTATCCCGTAAAGTCTGTTGTGTGGTGATGTATCAAATGCAGGAGGGATGGAGTTTAAAGGAAGAGAGGTCTTGCTATTGATGTTGGTGAGACCGCAGCTCGAGCTATTCTGTGCAGTTCCAGGCCATTTCCTTAAGGAGGGATATATTTGCATCAGAAGCAGTTCAGAGAATGTTCACTCGATTGATTCCTGGGATGAAGAGGATGGTCTTATGACGAGAGGTTGAGCAGATTAGGTCTCTAGTCACTGGGGGATTTAGAAGAATAAGAGGTGACCTTATTTAAACCAACATAATTCTGATAAAATACTTCCTTGTCAGGGAACCTAGAACTCGATGACACAGATTACAAATAAGGGGTCTCCCATTTCAGACAGAGATGAGGAATTTATTTTTCTCTTGTTAGTTTGTAGAATGCTCCCCTGCAGAGAGCAATGGAGGCTGGCTCATTGAATGTATTCAAGGCTGAACTGAACAGAATTTTGAGTGACAAGTGTATGAAAGGTTATGGAGAACAGCCAGGAAATGAAGTGAAGGCCACCGCACAACAGACCCGATCTCATTGAACTGCAGAGCCAGCCCATTGAGCTGAACGGCCCATTCCTGGTCCAATATCTTATAACTTGAGTCCAGGGCAGGAAGAGATGAGCATAGATCCGTTAGTTGACCTGAATCAGCATTTGTAGGAGAATGGGGAGGTGGGGAGGACGATAATAGCTACAGCAGAGTGAGTAAATGGAGGGAGATTGTCGCTTGGTGACTCTCATTTTTGGGGGAATAAGGGAAGACGGAATGCTCCGCAGAAACCAGAATTGTCTGTTTTGAATTTCTATCTTGTGTCGACAGCGATGATGGCTTGTGTAATCTCCTTTTACAGGAAATGAGAAAAGCAGGATTTGCAGACAGAAATCTCAAAACAAGATGCGACAGAGACACTTGATTCAATGGCATAAGTATATCATCAGGGTTTAATCTAGCAGGGTTTGTTTTCGTTTCTTCTGTCCAGTCTGCTTCAAAGGGTTTCAAACATCGGTGTGACTGAGGCACACATGCCCAAGTGAGAGTGTTCTAGTGAACCGACTGTGGAAAGAGCTTTAAGCAGTTACGCAGACTGAAGTAACAACACACCTTTCACAGCGGCGAGAGACTGAACACGTTCTGTGTGTGTGTGTGTGTGTGTGTGAGAGAGAGAGAGAGAGAGAGAGAGCTATCCCTCAACTCCTTGTTGAAGCTGGAGAGACAAGGATTGAATGGAGAAACCGTGGAAATGTGGGGACTGCGGGCAGGGTTTCAAGTTCCCATCTTCACTCGAACGCCATCGCCGCGGTCACACCGGGGAGAGGCCGTTCTCCTGCTCGGTGTGCGGGAAGGACTTCATTCATTTGTCTAGCCTGGTGACCCACCAGCGGGTCCACACCGGGGAGAGGCCTTTCTCCTGCTCCGAGTGCGGGAAGGACTTCATTCATTTGTCGAGCCTGGTGACCCACCAGCGGGTCCACACCGGGGAGAGGCCGTTCTCCTGCCCCGAGTGCGGGAAGGGCTTCACTCAGTCGTCCAGCCTGGTGACCCACCAGCGGGTTCACACCGGGGAGAGGCCGTTCACCTGCTCCGTGTGCGGGAAGGGCTTCAATCATTTGTCCAACCTGCGGACCCACCAGCACGTTCACACGGGGGACAGGCCGTTCACCTGCTCCATCTGCGGGAAGGGGTTCAACCAGGCGACGACCCTGCTGACCCACCGGCGCGGTCACACCGGAGAGAGGCCGTTCTCCTGCTCCGAGTGCGGGAAAGCGTTCACTAACTCGTCCAAACTGCAGAGCCACCGGCGGGTCCACACCGGGGAGAGGCCGTACGCCTGCTCGGTGTGCGGCAAGGGCTTCACCCAGTCGTCGGCCCTGCTGAGGCACTGCCGCGTTCACACCGGGGAGAAGCCGTTCTCCTGCTCCGTGTGCGGGAAAGCGTTCACCCATTCATCTACCCTGCGGACCCACCGGCGCCTTCACACCGGGGAAGAGGCCGTTCTCCTGTTCCGAGCGCGGGAAGGGCTTCACTCAGTCCACCCATGTGCTGAGACACCGTTGCAGCGAAAAGTAGTAGAGAACGTTTTCTGAAGAAGGGTCTCGACCCGAAACGTCAGCCTTCCTGCTCCTCTGACGCTGCTTGGCCTGCTGTGTTCATCCAGCTCTACACCTTGTTATCTCAGATTCTCCAGCATCTACAGTTCCTACTATTACTGAGAACTTTTAGATTCTTTGTCTGTGCGGGTGTTTACTTGTATTCAAGAGGGTAAACATTCACTGGTCAGTTGAGCACATATTAAAAGACATTTACTGCCATGCAGCATCGACTCGACTCAGGAGGTGTATACCTGTCGTGTTTCGCCCTGCTAAGCGATCTGCCCCAAGTACAGATTGAGTCAGTGCTGGGGAAGGGTGAAACGTTAACTCTTGTTTTTTTATTCCTTCACAGATGCTGCCAGACCTGCTGAGCTTTTCCAGCAACTTCTGTTTTTGTGACAGATGGGATGCAGGTTCTCTCTTCGCCACGAGGTTGTCAGGATGATAACATGGGAACGCTTGTTTTAGTGCTGAAAGTTGGACAAAAGAGGGAAAAAAAATAAAGTTTCTGATGGTGGCTTACAATCCTGGTGGCTTTTGTGAGAAGTGACTGAAGGTATTTGGAAATTGTCGGGGTCCGGTGACCCACTGATGTTCCCGGAAGCCTGAGCCACACAACAAAGTTGGCAGGATGGACGGGGAATGCGGGCGTGAGTTATGTCCCTACCATACAGTCACAGAGCCGTACAGCACGGAAACAAACCTCCAATTCGTCCATGCCGACCAGATATCCTAAATTAATCTCGTCCTGTTTGCCAGCATTTGGCCAGTTTCTCTCCAATCCCTTCCTTTTCATGTCCCCATCCAGGCGCCTTTTAAATGTTATCATTGTACCAGCCTCCACCACTTCCTCTGGCAGCTCATTCCATACACGCACCACCCTCTGTGTGGAAAAGTTGCCCTTTAGGTCATTTAAAATTTTTCCCCCTCTCACTTTAAACCTATGCCCCTCTAGTTTTGGATTCCCCCACCCCAGGAGAAAGACCTTGACTGTTCACCCTTTCCATGCCCCTCATGATTTATAAACTACTATAAGGTCACCCGTCAGCCTCCGATGCTCCAAAGAGGAAACACGGTGTGGCCTGGACATCATCCTGATGAAATTAAAACCAGAAATCTAGGATTTCTGTTTGGGATACCCATGACTGAGCAGCACAAAACAGCCAATGGCTGTCTGTAGCTGCTGATAGTAACATTTACTGTCAAAGTTGCTGAATGCACAGAAGATATACATAAGAAAATTGAATAACAATAGCAGCTGATGCATCACAAAAAGATACAAAGCAGTTTCACACAGTTAAAATGCCCCTTCCCCCCGGCTTTATCACTGCAGAGAGGAATGAATACAATAGATTCGCAGACGTTGGAATATGAAGAAAGAACAAAGAACAATACAGCACAGGAACAGGCCCTTCGGCCCTCCAAGCCTGCGCCGACACATTTTGCCCTTTCATACTAACGCTGTCTTCACTTGCAGAATCCCTATCCCTCTACTCCCTTCCTATTCATGTGTTCATCCAGCTGCTTCTTTAATGCTGCTACTGTGTCTGCTTCCACCACTTCCTTTGGCAGTGCATTCCATGTACTCACCACCCTTTGTGTTCAAAAAAAAACTTGGCTCACACATCTCTTTTAAACTTTACCCCTTGCACCTCGAACCTGTGTCCCCTAGTAATTGACCCTAGGGGAAACAAAAGCCTCATACTTTCCAGTCTCTGCGTGCCATTCACAATCTTGTAAGCTTCTATCAGGTCGCCCCTCAACCTCCTGCGTTCCAGTGAAAACAAACTCAGTCCAGCCAACCTTTCTTCACAGCCAAAATCCCCCATACCAGGCAACATCCTGGTAAACCTTTTCTGTACCCTCTCCAAAGCATCCGCGTCGTTCTGGTAGTGTTGGGGGGTGACCAGAACTGTGCTCAATATTCCAAGCCTGGCCTAACTAAAGTTCTGTAAAGCTGCAGGATTGAATGAACACATTAAGAACATCAGGTGTAACCACACAACTTCGTTGGAACTGGTCAAAACCCAATATTCTTTTGTATTTCCAGTAATGAGAAATTTAAAAAGTTCCTGATCTAATTAATTAACAGTTAACACAGTAAGCTGGCAAATGTAATGGGGTGGGCGGCTGGCGTGTGTGCTCTACGTTAGTTTATAATTTAAGACATTCTGAAGCTTTTAATGTGCCTTTTTTTTGCTGAGTTGTAAATCACAAATTAAAGGTTGTGTGAATCTGCCCCGATCTCATACTGTCAATGAGAGTCCAACAATTTGGCATAGGATCGCTGTAGGAACCCAGACACACCTCCATGGATGAGAGACCAGCATCTGTGCCCGTAGAGGTAAGGGTTCCTCTTCCTAAAAGTCCCCAGTCAGTTGTCTAAACTTTACAGTCTCTCCCTCCATGTGATTCCGAATTCCAGAGAGGCTGGCGGCCTGAGTTCCCTTCTGTCAGACGTTAGCATCCGACGGAGCTGAGGTAATAGTCTCCGACCAGGTTGATTCGATGGAGCTGAGGTGATAATCTATGACCAAGGCTAATTAAGCTTGAGACCCAAAACTATCACGATGAGAATACAGAACTGCCAACAAATACCAAGGGTGGGCTGGCCCCGCCTGACATCTCAGGAGATGCAACTCTACTTATAAACGAAAGAACTATATAGGATAACAATTTCACCTCCTTAAAACCTCTGTGGAAATCAGGCAGAAGTACAAAACCTCCACGGGAGCACTATGCTGTGTATGATAATGGCTACACCTGGATACTGTGTGGATCAGATCCATTTGTACTGTCACGTGTACTTTACAGTAAGAATACAATAAGATACAGTGAAAAGCTATCATTTGTTGCCATGATACGGCACCATTTTGAATAATTCAAGAATAAGGCGGGGCGGGGTGGGTGTTGGGGGTGGGGTGTTGAAGAAAGATATTGCTTGAAGAAAGTCCATTAGTCCTGA